ACACTCTGAGTCATACAAAACACCGGATTTATTGGTTTAATCTTTTCGGATATAGATTTCCATTGAGTGCTGAGATCCGCGTCCGGGTTATCACTGTTTTGGGGGATCGACTCGTTTGGATCGCAACTGTATAAGTGACTCAATAGGGAAAGGCCTGCCGTTCCGAACACCGTGTGGAAGGGGTCGACCAGATTGCCGGGTCTGTCGCCAAAACCTCCCGTCTCCTCGTCCTGTGTCGCCAAAATGAATCGCAAGAGTTTGTGTTTATCGATCCAATGGAGGCGCCCAATGATGGTGAGTGAGGACAACACCCACCACGAGTAGCACAGGTCCGGCAGCTTCTCGGGCCTCCCGTTGAGCCCACCCGACGGCAACTGTCTCTCGGCTAACCACCAGCCCAGGAGGTCGGCATCTATTCGGTCCAATTGACCCGTAATGGACAGACAGCCTACAAGTGGTTCACATTATCATTAAATGGTGTATAAGTGGTCATCACTACTGTCCCATTGAGCGACACATACCTAACGAGCAGTATATGAGTCCGGCGTGGGTTTCACTGCCCGGACGCGATCCAAACCCCCCGTCAATCGTATTGTAACACATCATCACAAAGTCGATGGCTTTGTCCACAGGAATGGCGTCCAATCGGTCGAGTAATGCGAGACTAGCGATGGCGCAGAAGGAGAAGCGGACGTCCACTTCGCCCCAGACGTCACCCGCGAAACTGCCGTCACTTCTGTTGAGTGACGCGATGTAAGCGACCGTTTGGTCGATGTCTATGATATTGTCTTTGAGGGCGTCGTACGACACCATTATCTGAATGGCGCTCAATGTGTACAACAGGTGCGGGTCGTGACCTTTGGCCGCAGATATGCCGCCATTCGGGTGGACACACGTCCGGATCATCGCCAGGATGTCGTCCCTACCGGCTGTGGATCGCATCGAGAGGTCAGTCAATAGCAAAGACAATGGATGTGTAAACGAGTGGTCAAACCCTTGTCGAAGTCGGCGTCCATCATCTGAAGAGCAGTTGTGGTCCAATAGATACCACTCATGCGGAGGTACTCCACCATCACCTGCTCGTAGCTCTCATTGGATTTGTCGGCGTATTTGTGCAGATATTGGATGTGCTTCGACAGCAAGAACTCATTCACGTGCGATGACGTGATCTCCACATCTCTGGTCAACATCTTTGTGGACACGAGTGATGAGTCAAGTGATGACAACTTCTGGAGAAATGTTTATTTGTTTACATCAATCACTTCATCACGTGTTTGCGAGTTATACACAAATAGTGTGCACATAATATCCATTCATTTATAACGGCCCCAAAAGTTTAACATTCATTTCATTACGATTACATGTTATGTGATGCGAAACCCCACGCTGGCTGTGGTGTACGTGATATGTGAATGGTTTAGCGGTTGACAGTGTAGGTCGAGTGGCGGTCCCTGGCGTGCATACAATGAGTGCATTCATAGCGATTGCATTGAATTGCAAATGATTTCTAAAGTTAGAAAAAATTCTAATGAATAGTAAACTTGTTTGCCAACTTTGTGTTCAGGTACATTTTAATGACAAACTTTCACTCAAAGTCCAAATACAGTATCAGTTTTTATGTTTTATTGAGTTTCGCTGTAAATAAACACAAAACACACATACATTTCACATATTTTATTGTTTTTGCGGTTAATAAATATGATTATAATTTATAAATAATTATATTAAACATGATTTCATATACACTAGTGTTGACTGAATATAAGACTTACAGTATATATTATAAGTGAATGAATGGAAAGTTAGATAATATTAGAGTCCATACGGAAAAGGCAACCCATTTGTGCCAAAAAATAATTACTTTTTATATTAAGTTTAATATAAGACTCAAATAAAACTGTAATTAAAGTGAGAAAAAAGGTGTCGAAAAAGTTGTGCCAAATTTGTGCCAAAAGTTTGCAACAATCGATAGGTAACAGTAGGCAGACATGTCTTTGTCGGGCCTCAAGAAGCAGTTGAATAAAGCGAATCAGTTTGTGGTGGAGAAGATGGGGGCGGCGGAGGGCACCCGACCTTCCGATCAGTTCCTCGAAATGCAACGAAAGACTGA